TATATTTTGCTTGAGACAAAGATTTCTTTTTTGTGTTTTGGATCTAAAACAAAAATTTATCATAACCTGCCACTGTATAATTCCACTGTTACAGAGACAAATATTACTTGGAACTCCTTCCATAATTCCTTCTGTAGATGAGGATGGAAGCCAATATCTCAGGTACTGAAATGAGAGCCATGACACTTCATAGTGAGCTGCTGGTATATTTATAAATAGAGCTGTATGTTCTAGATGATTTTTGGAACAGACAAATCTAATGCTTACAAACAAGTCTAATGCTGAAATTTACCCAGGAGACTACAGTACATAATTTTCTGGATTTATTAATAAAAATGATCTTTTAAAAAATGTTAATCTATTTACAATCAGTGAGAAACTTTCCCAGAGTGCAGGGAATGAAAGATGGAAATAATATTTTTTCAAATAAGATAAACCTAGAATTTCTAAACAAAAAGGAGGCAAAATCCATGCTTTGGCCTCACCCTAAAAGGAGAAGGAACCTGTAAAAAAATCTTTTTTTAAAAGTGAAAACCATTTAAAAAAATCTTAAACTTCTACAATCCCAAATTAGCAACAGGATATTAACTCTATTTTGGCTTTTTGGGTCAGAGCTATGTATGTTGTAAACAAAAGAAAAGAGTATTATTATCTGAATAAGAGTTTCTAGTGGTATAACCAGGGGTGGATCCATAGGGGAGCACTGGAGCATTTGCACCCCTCTTTGATTCCTGCTTCACCCAAAGTTTAAGATCTACTGCCTGAACATGGCAGCAGCATTTCTAGTCAGGCAGTGCAGAGGGAGTCAATTGACTTCATGGCTTATTATAATCTGGGATCTTTTGTAAACTCTTCATTCTACAGGTGTTAAAGACTCTCTCTCCTTTTTAATGATCTTGAGGTGCCACCAATTAAGCTATCCTTTCTTTTTCAATTCTGCTCTCTCTTAGCTGCTCCTGGTAATGAAGCTCCTATTTCACAGCCCTTCAGTTTTTTTTAACTTATTCCAATTAAGTAATATTTGTTTTTGTTTCGACCTAAATTGCTTAATACAGCCCTAGGCCCCTATCATATCAGTAAACCTTCCAGTTTATTTTAATGGTAGAAAATCTGTGTTGTTGTATATGTGGTGATGAACATCAACATCTGTACTCCGCTTTTCAAAATTCTAGATCCACCCATTGGTATTACTCCAGTTTTTTCTACAGCATTTTGTTGAAGTAAAGTTTTGATTGTATGCTGCCAATGCAGGAAGAAAGAGAGTGAGAGAGAGAGAACTGGAACTGACATGCGCAAGACAGGCTCATGGAATTTTCCATTGGACTTACCCAGCCTGTGTCCCCTGGGCAACCCCAAGAGCTGTCAGTCAGGTTGACCTACTTTTCAGCCCTGCGCCTGCGTGGTAACAGCAGAGAGTTCAGGCTCACACATGCTCAGTCAGCTAAGAGCATGATGTCATTCGGCTAGAAAGTTCTTTGAGGGACACATTCTAATTGGCCACCAAATTGTTATATAAGGTTAAGGAGCCCCTCCCTCGGGGGGAGATCCGCTTGAACTGAGGACGGTGCCTGGTCTCAGTATCTCTTCCCGGCCTGTCGGTCTCCTCCTGTGAGGACTCTAGCTGTCTTGCTGCGTCTTCACCCTCGATTATACTGTTCATTCACGACGTCGATTCTCCGGTTTATGAACTGTTTTGATTTTGACTTCGACTTCAGCCTGCGACAGTTCCCGCTGTCTCCAGCTTCCTACTTACCTGACGTTTAACCGACCTTAGCTTCGATTCTTGACCACGGCTTGGCTCAACTCCGCACACTTTGGCTCAACTCCGGCTATCTCCACGGCTATCTCCAACCATCTGATTGGCGTCACGTCTCGCTATCCTCAACGGGTTACAGTTTTGTTTACTGTGTGTTAGTTCATCCCTTTTATGAGCCGTTGACCAGTCCTAGGACTATTGAGCCAGGCAGCCGCCCCTAGCCTCCGGGTTAGATAGCAAGGGCTTGGCTCAAGAACCCTGTGGACCAACGGACCCCTGTGTTGTTGTTTGTTCGTGCCATCGCACCACTGTAACTGAAGAATCACTATGCCTGCGCCTAAAAAGCGTAAGTCAAATAAACCTACCTTGTTTAAGAAACCGTGCCAAGAGGCTCAGTACTCCATCGCCAAGAATCCCGCCTGTTTTTGTAGTCAATAGCCACCCCGGCCCACCGTGACACTGGGGCTTGGTTCATCCCCCCAGGACACATTTAAGCCCAATGCATTATACGGTGTGTCCCAGGAGACATAGTAAAGGGAAATACCTGCTGGCAGCTCGAGACGCAGCACACAAGGGGCAGAAGGAAGAGCCCGTGCAGCTCGTCAGCCGGCTTTTTATCCAATTACGGCTGGCCGATGATATCAGTGTCAGATGCCGGCCGGCGGAGTTAAAAATGGTGGCCAGCACGGGCAAGGAGCTGCAACTGCCACCGGCAATGAGAGGAACCCTCCCCACAAGATCCATGGAGCCTGGCAAGCCAGGGCGGACGCTGATGGCGCGAGGTAAAGCACCCAGACAGGAGCTCGCACAGGACAACGAGGGAGCAGCAGGCATGCTGGCCGGAGACATGGCTGGAGTGGCGCCCGGGAGCAACACAGACCACAGGTGGGAGTGCCCAGACAACAGGGCACGGAGGAAGCCGTGCCAGGGCGAGAAGACCCTGGGAGAGCCCTGAGGGGGTTCAGTCAGGGCGGGCATCGCCGCCAGTCCCAGATGGAGTGATGGGCAGGAGACAGTAATGCTGGAGGTGACTGGTCCAGAGTGTACCAGAGGAAAAACCCCAGGGAGAGTCCTGGGAAGGCTAATAAGAGTGCAGGGAGTGTCCTGTTATTCAGTATTTTGTTGGTACATTTATTTAGTTACCCCAGACAAAGGGGCATAGGGAAAGGGGGCGTGTACCCCGGGGAGCGAGGAAGAAGAGAAGCCTTGGCAGGTTTACCTTTCTTTTTGTACATTTTCCCCTGAAGAAAGGGGTGAAGGTGAGGAGGGCCAATAGGCGGGCCCTTACGGGGGAACATGGCTACAGGCCACGGGCACCTACAGGCAAAGTTGGAAGGCATTACCCCACAGAGGGGACGATACCAACGGATGGGTGATGCACCGAAGGCGGCGTGAGGCCGGGGTGTAGGGATGGCGGAGCCCTGTGAATGACCGCTGGGCGAACCCTGGGCCACTGAGTACACTTGACGACCAACCCTGACTACCGAAGGAACAACAAGTCGTGGCAGAGGAGAACGGGGTTGGCGACCGGAGGAGAAGACATCGACTTGGGCAACAACACGAGTCTATAAGGCGTTCGACGTCTAACAACAGAGCGAAGGCCGACCAAGAGCGGCTATTCGAAGCCCGGCAGTCACAGAGTGGTGCATTGGCCAGGAACCTCAGGGGCCACCCAGCTGGCATGCAACCTGCCGAGATGGCTCCGGCAGACCTACTGGGGCAGAACCTGCAGGCCCTGACGCAGATTTTGGGTTCACAGCAACGTATATTGGAGCGGCACCAAGATTGGATGCGACACAGCTTGTTGGCCTGTAAAATGCCCAAGATGACATCTGAAGACAACTCGGAGGCATACATCGAGGACTTCGAGTGTCATGCAGTTATCATGGGCCTCGACAAAGGATACTGGGTTGGCCAGTTGGGAGCCTTGGTGGTGGGTAAGGCCCAAGCAGCCTACAGGGCCTTGACCTGAAAGAAAGCACAAGATTACGAGGCAGTCAAAGCTGCTATTCTCTATCACCACTCTTTAAATCAATGCAAAACAGTATTCACTGTCGTGAGAAGCTATAGTACACAGGTACTGATAAAATGTGAGAATAAGACAAATCCAAAAGTCAGCCAGGAGAAGTAGATTTAACACATGAAAACATACCCAATGTAACACATGAGAACTAAAACTGGACTTTCCAGGACAGCCCTCAACTTCAGGGCTATCTATCTATGTCTTGGTGACCCAGAGCACTTCCTGAAATGGAACTTTATTCCTGAAAATGGAGCGCTGGTCCCACATCAGTATCAGGCAGAATCTAGATCAGGACCTGCACTTGAAATCATTGGCAACTGGGCCTCTTGTGGTTTTACCATTTACAAATACAGGCAAGTCAAGTCAGTTCCAAGGCTGCTGAGCATTTAAGGTTGCCCAGTGGTGACAGAGGCCTCAGGACTGACTCAACGTGATTTGCCTGTACGGTATTTGCAAATGTACAGGCAAATCAGTTGGAGCCCAGTTGCCAACTTAAGAGCTACTAAAAAGAGCCCTCTGCGGAGCATCCAGGACTGTCCCCAAGTTTGCTGCTTTACCCAAGCCAGGTATTACACAGTGGCTGAGGGTTTCCAACACTTGTGTGATCCTCTTTTAGGAGAAAGTTAAACACAGATTAATTTATCATATATGTAATGGGCAATGTATAACTTGTGATTTCTTGCACTCCCTGATATCGGCTAAACTGCAAATGCTTTAGGACCACTGGAAGTAGTCCTATAGCAATCAATGGCACTTAAGCATACGAGTAAATGTTTGCAGAATTATTGTGCTTGTATGCCAAGCAGAATGAGTGATCTCGAAACGGCATGTTTTGTAAAGATCATGACAGACCAAGTTGGTCTAATAAAAGATAACAGATTCACGCAAAGAATCTTGTCTGTCTACGTCCTTAGACCGACAGGGCTACAACCTGCACCCCGGAAAGATAATTTTTTGCGTTTTTTTTGTAATGCACAGATGGAAACGTAAGACACTGGAGTTTAGATCTTTTTTGATTTGGAAATCTCTCATTGAAAAGTATGCATTAAAATATACGCGCATACTGAGCCCGCGGCTTAACATTGCACAATGGGAGGGGCCGCAGTGGAGGACTGGTCCTGCCCCTGGAACTCTGAATCACCCAGGCGCGACCTCATTTGCATAGTCGGAGACGATTGGTTCCGACGCGTTCTGCGTCTCTGCAGCGGCCGGCGCTGGGGCTGTTTCCTTGGGCAAGGCGCAGGCCGGGGTCTCTCGCTTTCCGCGCCGCGCTTCCAACATGTCCGAGGCGCCGGAGCCCCGGGGCCTCCCCGATGAAGCAGCTTACAGTGCCTGCTCCGACCCGGATCCCAGCACCAAGGTGAGAAGGGGCCAAGCGCGCAGTCAGTGCATTGGGCGCGGGCGGGGTGGCTGCCCCTCTCTCTCCGCCCCGGGCTGCGGGGAAGGGGAGCTGGCCCAATGCTCACAGACCACAGAGCCACCTCCCCGGGGCCTCGCGGAGAGGCCGGTGCAATACTAGGGAAGCTAGGCTGGGTGCAGAGTTGTATTTACCAAGCGTGTGTTAGGGCAAGACCCTAGGGGACTGCCCATTATTTTTCCCCAATAGTCGGCTTGACTCTTTTCCCTCTTTCCCCCCTTTGGCGTTCAGATCACTTAACTTTGCACACTGCTTTCTGCTGGCCTTTCATTGCATTTCCTAGATCAGCGTTTCTCAGCCCGTGGGTTGGAACACAAAAGCAGGTTGTGAGAATATGTGTGAGGGATGGTAACACACTTTAAAAATGGATTCTCCTTTAAAGGAGAAAAGCGTGGGAAACCAGGGCTTTTCCCTTGCAGACTGGCAGAGCTCTTGCTTGCCAGGGGCTGCCTGGGGCCCCCCTGCCCCACACACTGAGGGGCTGATGCCTGGGGGTGAGTGGCAGCTGGTTGGGAGCAATAGACACTGGGTTGGGACTGGACATCGATGTTTATAAATGGGTCCTGGTGCAAAAAAGGTTGAGAACCAGTAGACTAGAGTGAATTCCAGTTGACAAAAGCTTTTGCTTTCTCTAGATATGACTTAGCTAGTGCCCCTCTACCCTGCCTTCTTCCTGGCTTCAGTCTCGCAGGGCTCCTATACGTATGCAGGGAGTCTGCTCCAACGTGCTGGAATTCCTGCATGTTGAGTCTGCCAGAGTGTGGAAATTACTGTGCTCCGGCAGACTCCAACATCACGTATATCAGCGTCCCTGAACTGAAAAATGGCGGTGGGGTGCTTTAAATTAAAACTCATCCAACAAGCTTTAGTTCAGAGTGCCACACCGCCATTTTTTCAATGTGTGGATGCTGACCCACATGAGGCTTGGGGCACTCTTAATTAGCACAGCCCCCCATGCCCCCTTTGGAGCATGTCTGGGACACCTGCACCAGACTCCACAGAAGTATGATTTTTTTTAAAATTTTTTTTGACACATTCTTAATGCAAAAATTGTGCTTTTTCTGTGTATTATTTGATTGTATTGGCAATTTTTTACAATTTTTGACTGACATTTGACCAGTTGGTTGACCAAATTTTATTTGATGGATCAAATACCCAACCCTGTTATGAAGATGATTAAAAATACTGGCCCTCCTTATGTATATCCAGCTTACCAAGAGGATGAAGGGGCAAAATCTAGGACAGTTTCTAACCCAAACAGGTCCATATGAAGCTCTACTGAGTAAAGGAATGGAAATGCATGTGGCATGGTTAAGCTCAGACGTGCTTAACCTTTGGCCCATGGGCCAAATGTGACCCATGAAGCCATTGCATCTGGTCTGTGGGGCTGCCCATGGGTCAAGAAATTCGACAGCGGGGGAGTGGTGGCCATTAATATAGCCACCTTCCCCTTGCCAAATTCCCAACCTTCAAGCCCCATAAGCCCAAATGGAGCCAGGTCATGGCCCCTTCTCCTTCGGGGTTGGGTTGAGGCCAGGCTATGCCCCCTCTTCTCTGGGTGTGGGTTGGGGCCAGGCTATGCCACTTTGCCCTCCTGGGCCTGAGTCAAGTTCCTCTCCCCCTGACTCCCTCCCTGGGGCCAGGTGAAGCCCCCTTTCTCTCTCCCCTATAGGATCAGGCTCAGGTCAGGCTGCTCCTCATCCCTCGTATGGCCAGATGGTGCCCGATGCACTGGCCCTGTGCACTGGATCAGAACTACCATCTGGCCTTCAACCAGGCGCAGCTCATCCAGCCCAGGCATAGCTCATCCAGCCGTCATCTAACTTGCTTTTTTTTAATGAAAATGTTAAACAATAAAAACAAACTGTGGCATATTTACCATTAGTAAGGGAAAAACAATTTATATGTAGCACCAATCATTTTTTCCAGTATATTATTCATTAACTATGTGAGCCCTGTTAGTGTTTTAAGGTAATAAACTATCATTTTGTGTACTGTATATGACTCTATAACTTTTGGCTCAACTACTTTTAACAGTATCCTTCTAAATTATTTCCAATAAAAAGTCAACCTCCTGTACTTTATTTGTCATCTTGCTTAATGTGAATTATGGATAAATGTAAAACAAGTATAATTTTTCCGTAGGACTTTCTGATGCAGCAAACCATGTTAAGAATAAAAGATCCTACAAAGTCACTGGATTTTTACACAAGAATTCTTGGAATGACGTGAGTAAAAATTAAAAAGGATAAAATGTTTTGGTTTAGATCGGTGATTCTCAACTAGGATGCTACGAGATCCTTTCAAGGGTGTTGGGTGCTGCTCAGTGCTAGCACATTTCAGTGCACAAACATGATTCTCAAGATAAACCCACAGATTTCAAATAGGAATCCATAGTGTTAGAAGCATTCTCACCTGTTGTGGTGTTTCTGAATTTTTTTGCAACAAAAGAATTGCTCTACTTTTTGAAGTAAAAAAATAAGTGAAAACTAAGAGCTGGTATTTTCTGAGGGATGCCTTGAGCCAAACAAGGGATGCCCTGACCCCATAAAGGTTGAGAACCAGTGGTTTTCAACCTTTTTTTCAATCTGTTTTTCAAGAATCACAAACCTTGGCATTTAAAGCTGGTTACTAGGTATTTCATCATCAACTGTCATGCAGGGAGATGACTTAAAATTTAAGTGGCACACAGTGAAATTAAAACAGTTTTAAATGGAATGTTACACTGGACAAACAGTAAATTGTTGCAGGGCTTTTTGTTGTTAGCTACAGTAATTGCCAAAGCTGACTGATTATATGCTTGCTTGCTTTCACTTCTCTGACAAGGCAGTTAAGTAATCACATTTAAATTGTGAAATCTGCGAACATTTTCTTGGCAATTTAGTCTCGCTGTAATCACAGAACTCTGCCTTAATTATAGGATAAAACAATAAGATGCTCTCTGAAGACTACTAAATGACTTCTAGGGCTGCTCTGTGTTTTTGTCTTCCTATATTCTGAGATGCTAAGAGCTGGTAGTCAGTCAAGCCTGCTGCTTTGGAGAAGGCTATTGGGAGTTGAGTCCCTGACAGAAACTTTGCTTGCATCCACTTTGTTTGAGCTAGTATTCATTTCAAGAACCTTAAAGACTTTAAAACAAAGCTCTGGTAGATTTTAACACTTTGACATGTAAAAAGGGCTCCTCTAAAATTGATAAAGGAAATATTTATGCATAAATGAAGGGCTTCAGAAGCAGTGGGCATAATTTAGAAATTAGCAGTGAATTAATGTTTCTGGATTGGATTTTATGTAAAAAAAAATATTTGTTATGTGGTGTGAAATGGGTTACAACAGAAAATGTGTAAGAGCATAAGAAGTGTCATGTTGGATTAGACTACAAGTTCCATTTCCTAGTGGCAGAGTGGATACTAAAGAGAAGAAAATATATGCAGGACCTTTCTAGATTGATGTTTGCTGCTCGTCTTCCCTTACATCTTCCAGTATTCAGAAGTTTAGAAAATCATAATCTGGAGATTTGTCATCCTAACTGTCATGTTTAATATCCACTGCTGGACCTGTCCTGAATTAATTTGTCCAGTCTAATACAATATTAGATTGGCCTTCTGTATTTTCTTGCATACAACATGGACCATTTTTTATCAAAAGCCAGCTGTTGGAATGGAAATATGGTAACAATAGTTTCTAAGCTTAAGCTTTTGCTGGGTAAAAACAAAAATAATTGGACTTGCCATTGTTCTGCTCCCCATGGATCAGGCACTGCTCCCAAACTGCTGCTACTCAGTTACTTACTACAAGAAAAGATCTTTTTTTCTTTCATTCTGCCTTTCAGAAACAAGGTATATATCTTATTTCAGGGCATGTTGTATGTGAGAAAATACAGTATTCTCTTTAATGCAGTTCGGTGCATCCAATAGTAGCTAATATCAAATACAACTGAGGAAAGTATACAGATTCCTGCAGCTGTTAGTAAAGAAATAAAAATTAGATTAGATTGTGGGAAGGTTTTACTAACTACAGGTATTTAACTACAGGTATTTCTTATGCTATGATCCATAAAGGTTTTATATCCCTTCCATACTTTTGTCTAGCTACTGAAAATGTGAAATTTTTAATTAATCTAAATCCACAATTCTATTTTTACTTCTAATAAATGCTACTATCAATGATATCTTGTGGCTGTCAGTTCCATAGGTTAGTTTTAGTTTGAAAATAAATTCTTCTATCAGTCTTTACTGAGAGTCTTGAGAGGTAAACTTAGGGACACATATGCACAAGGCATTGAAATGTGTACAGAGGGCATTGAATACTAGACGTAGACTACAGATTGTCTACTGGTGTTTATACAGTTGCTAATTTTAAGGTGTTCTTAACTTGGTTTTAACAAGCTAGTTGATTCTTCTCATGTGGTTTAAGGATGTGAGGTGCTGTCAAGAATATTTGTATGCCATACTTCAAAACTCGGCCATTTTTAAGGTATGAGTGAGAAGAATAAAGAAACATGTAGCAGTAACTGTAGAAGGGATCTTAGGGAGAAGCATTTACTTTTTTTTTTAACTGAACTGTAGTTTAGTTGCTTCTTTTAAAAACTCATCAGTAATGATTTCTGTCATATTATTTCTTTCTAGATTGCTTCAAAAATTTGACTTTCCTACAATGAAGTTCTCGCTTTATTTCTTGGCATATGAGGATAAAAATGACATCCCAAAAGATAAAACAGAGAGGACTGCTTGGACCTTCTCTCGGAAGGCTACGCTTGAATTGACGCAGTGAGTATTCACATAAATATTTTTCTGCTCGCCTCTGCTTACTTTTAATAGTCTTTAGTTGCAGCTATGTGTACTCAGCTTTGCACTATGTTATATGTAGAATTTTTGTCTTGCTTTTGATTAGGGGCTGCATGGTAGTATAGAATTACTATATTTTCTTGCATATCTTGCATACCTTTGTGAGAAATTGGGATGCGTCTGTTAAGTAAGGAAGCCATTTGTTTCACTGGACAAGAAGCACTCCTGAAGACACTGTGCATGGCATGCAGCTATCGAGATGGCTGCTGCTTGTCCGCCCTTTTCTAATCTTTAAGAACAAGGCAAGTGATGAATACTTTCCGACTGAATAAAAAATAGTATATAAGTGTGAATGAAAACTTGCCAATTTCCTGGGTTTTTTTTAGAGTGCACTTGCTCTCTTAATATTAGTCTGTCAGTTTAGCATGTAATATTACTATTATACAAGAAAAATTTACTTGGACACACATTTCAGGTTATAACACAACATGACTAGTTCACAACATAACAGTTCTGTGTACTACTGTGTATATTTGACTTGAAAATAAAACATATCCAAAATGTGCTGACAAAGTTGAGTGTTACGCTAAATAAGAAAGACGCCGCAAAGACCCATAATAGTCCACTGCCCTAACTTATTTCAGGTACCATTTCCCTCTCCCCTCACATTCTGTGGAGTATGGTAGATGGCTGACCTATTCAATACACCATAACCCTAACATATGTGAAGAAAGACCCTTAGTCCAGTATCAGAGGTGCATTGTGAACACTAATAAGGAGGGACCTACCCAAACGCAGGTAGCAAATGGGCGATTTCATGGGCTGATTGCAGCACTGGCCCCCACTTTTGTGGGATTATCATGGCAGGGGCCCCCTTGCACCTCTGGTCGAGGGGCCCCAGCAGTCCCTCCCCTTGCCGCAGATTTGACAGATGACCTGAAACCACTGCATAATTACCCTGGTTAAGCCTGCGGGAACCATTAATTGACCCATTATTAAGCAATCTAAACTTCCAATTAAACTCTAAACGGAAATGTCTTATGAAATTAAAGCTATACACACTGAATTGTAACTAATACCATTGTCATACTTTATTAATGATGTTATAAAAAGGAGTTTAGCAATACTCAATGCTAACCATGAGACGGGCAGTCTAGCTGTTAAATGCTAGCATACAGCATCTACCGGCAGTTGCTGTAGACATCCTCTGTCTCTGCAGGATTAACACGTCTGAGATCACACGCTCACCATCCACTGAGTTGGTTGGAATGGTCAGGCAGCATTTTGCCAGGGCATACAGATGTGGAAACCAGTCACAAATAGAGTCCCAAAACAGAGGCACAGGCATCTGGCACTCTTTGACAAAGTTCATGCAAGCGGTATGTTCCTTGTCACATTCTTTTTCCCCATCCAAAGGTTGACTTCAGTAGCTGAGAGTCACAAAACGGAACAGGCATCTGATTGGGGTCCAAAATGCAAACAGCAGTAAAAAAAGGAGGCAGCTGGTTGTCTGAATTGTGGTGGCAGTGATGGGTCGTACCTGTAGTACTTGTTCAGCTTCACAGCTATTGCCTGGAACAGGTCCCTTCTCCACTGGTTTTTATAATGACAGCTTGACAGTTCTTGTGATGCCTTATTTTTGATCCATCTTACAAATCCATCAGCTTATTGTATGCATGGTGGATCAAAGCCTGCTAGGTTGCAAACCACATTAGGAGTTGCATGAACCAGATGGCATTACTGCCACAAACTTCACTTGATCTTGAATGTCTCCCTGTTCCAAGAGATCTCATAGCTTAAGCAAGCAATGTATGCCAGGTTTGATTTCCAGCTTCTCACACACAAACTGCTGGTAGTACTGCATATGCTTGGCATGGTAGTGGGCAGTGCTGAGCCATAAATTCCACCTTGTGAGCTCAGGCTCTGGTGGCAGTGGCGCAGTCACATGTGGCTCCCCACTTTAATTGGTAAGGGACTCCCTGTACTGGAGTTTACAGGATGGTACTTGAAGGCTTTCTTAAAGGAGGACACCAGGCTGTCAGCAGGGAACTGTGTGTACCAGATGTCACTTACTAAAGACAGAATGTGCGCATTGCAGGTGACGTGAACCGCCTTGGGCATCATTCCATGGGGTACATCAGAGAGAGCCTTGCACATATGCGTGGCATTGTGAGATGGAAATGCTGAGATCTTGTTAAATTCTAAGCTGTAGTTGACAACTGCCTTCACTACAGTCTAAGTCGTGGTAGAAAAATTGACAGATACAAGGTGGACTGGCTCTGTTTGAAAAATAGGCAGGTCTTGGTCTATCCAGCTCCCAGGTATGAATAAAATGTGCAGCCCATAGTTATCTTGAGGGTCAGTGGCTTCATCAGCCACAA